ACTAACTTAATCTTTCTCAGAGTATTCAAAGCTTTTCTTTAAGCTTTTTAAATTTTAACTAATCTTTTGAAATTAATCTTGTAACATGCATCAATAAAATAGGCAACTGACATCCCCATTAAAAATAAAATATATCTCATGTTCAGGTTCTGAATATATCTTTTTTTTATAAGTTTGGAGTTATTTGTATTATATCCATATATATATATATATATATATATATATATATATATATATATATATATATATATATATATATATATATATATATATATATATATATATATATATATATATATATATATATATATATATATATATATATATATATATATATATATATATATATAGTACAAATAACTCAGTTGCTACAAATAGCAACTTCTAAAAATACTTCAAAAATGAAAGATATACCTAAGTTTGTTGTCTATGTAATCTTTTTGATCGGTGTGGTACTTTTATTCAATAACTATAGTTAAAACAATTTTATGCAACCGTCAACATTTAATGCATACTGTGACACGACCTAGTCAAAAATGAAACAAATGCATCCGCAGCGTAGTTAATATATGCACATCAATAAAGAAGGTCGCATCCTATGCCTGAATAAAACCGAAACTTTATGAAAACACCCAAAAAAACGTATTATGTCATTCTTTTACATATATATATATATATATATATATATATATATATATATATATATATATATATATATATATATATATATATATATATATATATATATATATATATATATATATATATATATATATATATATATATATATATATATATATATATATAAATATATATTAATTATTCTCTTTATATCTAGGTAAAGAAATGTCTTTTATAAAGTATCCTCCAAGAACGCTGATAAAAAAACCAGCCAACTCTTGGAAAAAGTACTCAAAGTACTTTCTCCAATCTCTCAAGGAGTCTTAGAATCTTAGAACACTCATTACCTTCAAGTATGTCACGATTGTATGATTAAAGAAAATAGAATGTCCTGCAAACCAATCCTGAAGTCCAGGCCAAATGCTTTGTAGTTCCTTAAGGCATAATTTAGAGACAACTAAAGATAAAGAGCTGGTGGTGGACTTTTAAGAATCACTAAGCTATCATCAGGATCAACTTCATGAAAGAGTAAAAGAGTCGCTACACAGTTAGTATACTCTTTTACTTTGATTTTTTGACCTCCAGAGGTTAGCCAATCCGTCTTGTGAGTTTTTATATTCTCAAATGTTTTTAGTGTAGTATGTGTCTGCCAAACTTCACTTCCTTTTCTATTTGGAGACTCACAGTATAAGCATGGATACTTCGATACACATGACATTATTCCAGACATAATGTTTAAGATTTTAAGATCAATAATTTGAGTCTTCTCTATGAATATCTTGCAGTAATGATATGTCTCTATTTTTACATGAACCAATACCTCTTTTCCTAGTTACTTTAATAGAAGGTTTAATAAAAATTAAATCATCTAGATCATAAAGTGTAAGAGTTACCTTCAGATGCCCTTTTCCAAAATCAAAGTCGAACTTTTTTTTTAATATTGATTTAGGTGCCCCAAGAAGTCCTTACAGTCTTATCACAGAGCACCGCGGAAGAGCATTTAATAGGAAGTTCACGCCTCCTTCCCAACCGATGTCGCAAAACTTGCCTAGAGGTGGGGTTTGAACCACGGATTTTACCTTTCTGAGGCAAGTGCGCTACCACTGCGCCACGGCTGCCCCACTTTGAAACTATCTCTAAGAATCATCTTCTTTACAATTTAATATATAATATTAATCATTTAGATTAAAATAATGAATATGAAATCTTAAAAAAAAATAACTATCAAAATTTTTATGATTGCCTAAGATATGCTAGTTTTTTTACAAGTTCCAAAATATTGGGACGGAAGATAAACGGTCTGATTATATCTTTCCCATTAGAATCTTGAAATATTGTTGATTCATGAGTAAATAACTTTCCAAAGATACCTTTCTGATTCCTCATAGCCTCCTTTATGCGAGGAACAATACATTTCCATCCCCATTTAAGTCTTAAGTTTTTCAGAACTGAAAAACTTAAGACTTAAATGGGGATGTTCAGTCAGTTCGGGATCAATTAGGTTTGTAATGATTGCTAATTTTTACAATCTTACTTTACACTTATCTTTTGAGTGGTTTGATCCCCTTTATCCTTGTATCCCAGATACTGGCAAAGCAGTGTGAGTAGTTGTGTGTGGGAAAAAACCTTGAATTGTTAGATTTATTACAGTAAACAAAGAACTTGAAAAATTAACCCAATGGTTCAAATCAAACAAACTATCTTTGAACATCAATAAATCCAAATACACTTTGTTCCATCGTCTTCATAAAAAACAAGATATTCCATTAAAACTTCCTGATCTTTTTATTGATAACGCATTATTAAAAAGAGAGCAATCAATAAATTTTTTAGGTGTGGTTCTGGATGAAAATTTAACCTGGAGGGACCACATAGGTCTAATTGAAAATAAAATATCAAAAAATATAGGTGTTTTGTATAAAGCCAAGCAGTTTTTAAACCTATCTTGTTTAAAAAACTTATATTTTTCTTTAATTCATTGCTACTTAAATTATGCAAACGTTGCTTGGTGCAGCACAAACGCAACAAAAGTAAAAAAACTGTTTAGTAAACAAAAACAGGCTATAAGGATAATTACAAACGTAGACCGTTTCTCTCACACTAAAACATTATTTAATAAACTTAATATTCTAAATGTATATAAACTAAACCTTTACCATATTCTTATCTTCATGTTTAAACTTGATAAAAAAATATCACCAATGTTATTTAATTCACTTTTTGAAAAAATAAACCACATAGGGTATATGTGGTTTATTTTTTACCAGATTTTCAAAAAACAATTACATTCAATCCAAAACACATTATTCAGCAACCAAATTCTCAATTGCAAATCGAGGTCCTAAGCTGTGGAATACAATATTAAATAATGAGCTGAAATCTAATTATTCTTTAAACCAGTTTAAAACAAAACTTAAGCAATTACTGATGATACATGAAAATGAATTAAAGTTCTTCTAAAAAGCTTTTTAAACTAGCAAACAAAAACAAAAATTAACCTACTAATTACTCTTTAATATTATATTTAATATTCTAAACAATAGTCTGCTATTGTAAATGTATTTCTTATCTTATAAGTTTTGAATTTACAAACGATTTTTTAAGTTTTATTATTTGAAATACTAATTACTAAAAATATTGTAAAATTTTATAATTTCAATTTTTATTAAAAAAAGTTATTGTAAATTCTTTTTGTAATATTAATACTTATATATCATCTTATTTTACTAATCAGTTCTTAAATATAAATACTCTTTGAATTACTAAATATTTTAAACGTTATATATTTTATTTTTTACATTTTGTTAAAATATTTTATTTGATAAATATGCACTTTTTTTTTTTGGGGGGGGGGGGGCTTAATGATAAGATGAATTTTGTCTTCTTCAAGCCCCAGTCATGTAAATATTTGTTTTTATAAATTACGAGTGTAAATTATTTTCAATCGGCAAATACAACACTAAAAAAAAAAAAAAAAAAAAAATTCTCCAGGTTGTTGTCAAATAATTTCCCATTGTAGACCATTCATGCTAGCAATTTTACAAAATCTACACTTACATCTTTCCATAGACCAGATAAAAACAGGTAAATGTTAAATAGTAGTTAATTTTTATAGAAAAACTAAAATTTTGTCTACATAAGTTAGGGAGGGGGACATTTGTGTTGATTAAATTTATAAATAGTTGTTAAATTTGATATACCTTATTATAATCCCAGAATGTTATATGAATATTTGTAATTTAATTTATTTAATTGATTCAATTTTTAATGTTACTTTTACAACCACTTGTAACATTATATTAAAAGTCCTTTACATTTTAGCTCCTCTATCTCCTAGGAGGGGGTAGAGGAGCATATGTTACTACTCCTCGACCTACTTCAGCTCCTCCATCAACACCTTATATTCCTAAACCTAAACTGCATTAAAACAATAAAAGTTAAAAAAAGTCCACAAAATAATTACCCTTTTATGCAAATTTTTGAAATATATTAATTTTTCAAAAGTAGATTTTCTTTAAAAATTAATAAGGTAAATATTCCCCAAGGAATTGTGTCGCCGAATATTCGGAAGCCGAATACTCCATGCTTCGGCCGAGCGCTCAACTAAATTATCGGTGTTTGGCAAAATCACTTATTTTTTATATCTCTTGTATAAATAGTTTAACGTATAAAAAAAAAGTGTTATAGATCAAAGGCACCGCTAAATAGTAAAATTTTGTGCGATAAAATTAGATTAACATAACCTAACTTTATGCCAATTAGTTTATGTTAAAAATAATATTAAATTTTACAGTTTTACTTTTACTTAAAAATTGCATTGTGGCAATATCTCCTTAATTTTGATTTGTAGCATTTATTTGTCGTTTTAAAAATTTACCATCTTTTGTTTATTAAATAATGTTAAAATGATGTGTTCCGCGTGGGATACATGTGGATTCCGTGTGGGATACATGGGAACTCACATGGAACCCGTGTAGGACAAAATTATTTTTTCACTTGGTACCCTGGGTACTCACGCACTTTAGGTACTTAATTTTGATCAACGGAGGAAGGAGGGGGTAATGAGGATGGGGATGGGATGGTTAGGTTTTAAAATAAGCATTTATAATTTGAGCAATGTAATCTTATTTTTAATATTTTAGTATTTTTAAATACTTTATAATTTGTTACTTGATATAAATACATAAAAGAAATTAAAAAAAAAGCGGTCTTTAATAAAAAAAAGTCATAAATAGCCCGTCAGCAGCAATTTTAAGGTCAAAGATTTGATTTAATTACCATATCTTTTTTAAATATTTGTAATATAAAATATTTACGTACAAAATAAACAAATCGTTTTTTAGGAGCTCACAATTTGCCGACCTATGTTGGAGACCTATGTTGAAGATAACTTCGGCAATTGATCGTGTCGCAATAAATCACAGAAAGATTTTACTGGAGAATTTTTTAGTTAATTTCGATAATTTTATTTTTATTTCCCGTTAACATTTGTGAGAAAAAAACTCAGCAAAACCTGGTTCCTCGAAAAGTATGTTAAAAATTGCCAGAGATAGATTTCAAGGATGCTTGGTGGGATCAGTCATAGGAGATTGTCTAGGTGCTCCTTTTGAGATGCAGAACTGGAATGAAAATGGAATTCCTAGACAGAAAATATTAAGTGTAATAAATCCAAAGGAGTTAGCGGACAGATCCATTCAATTAAAATATACAGGTACTCACTTAGAAACGTATCTATATAAAATTTATTACTCGTCAAAAGTTACGACTCAAGACATTCGATTTTAAGCGTTTTTCTATGATTTTAACTTTCTGATCTTGTTTTTTAGACTTTTTTCAATTTTTTTTTTTTTTTTTATATAATTCGGATTACTTTTTGCTTCTAAAATTGTGATGTCGTTATTTCTACATGACCAAAACAGATACACTCTATTAAAAACCAAGATACACTCAATTAAAAACCAAGATACACTCCATTAGAAACATTATCAATTTAACCTAGATTGCTCTCCTGGTTTAAAAGGTAACACTACAGGTCTTCTTGACCGTTATCTTTTTTGTTTTTTAAGGGAATTTTATTAATCTTTATTTTTTTTAATGAGTAATTTTTCAACATTATTGGGGAAAGTCTTGATTAGTTCTTGATATTCCAATTTTTTACTCATAAACAATTCAAATTTACTATTTTGAGGTTCTAAGAATCTTGGTTAGTAAGTGATTAAGGTCACAGCCCACCTAAAATTAAGACTTTTACAAACCCGGCCCTGGTCCCAGCAAAATTATAAGACTTAGCAGAGTTTCATAGCCTCAGAAATCTTATATATTATAAATTATGCATACATTTACTTTTTTTTGAATGCTGGCATATAAATACATATTTTTAAACTAGTTATATTTTGACAAGGTTGCAAGTAACCACAATTAAATTATGAGTTACTAGAAAACAAAAGATAGGGTTTAAAAAAAAAGAAATGTTTTACTGAAGATGTAAAAAGTTGTAGGTTGTATGAGGAAAGGTTTTGTTGATGTGCAAAGATATAAACTAGATAAATAAAAAATTTTATAGCATGGAAGGGCAGATACAATAAAAAGATGCAGCTTTGCTGAATGACAAGCCAAGTTAGAATGAGTTTTGATTAATCAAACTAAAAATAAGAACTCGTTTGAGCAGCGACCATGGAAAGTATTTGTAGAAAAGAGAAAGAAATGCAACCTTACAAAGATGAAAGATTTGCTTAATACAAGAGTTTAAAGTTGAGTTGTCAGCAAATGAAGCCACTTTGGATGTAAGATTGTCAGAAATGTTCTACCTTTGCTCCTGTATGGTTTCTTTATTGAAAATAAGGAAAGGATTTCAAAGGTTCAAAGATTGAATCTTTGAAATCCGGAAGAGTGTAGGTCTTTAAGAGTGGCTTGAATACTTTGGTTAGAAAGAAATGGTTTAATAACTTTAAAAGTTTAATATGACAAAACTAATCCCAGAGAGAAGATATTCCATTGAATGGAAGACTAATTGTATGGTAATTGAGAGGCCAGAGTTTTTTCTAGAGTTTTGGAGGAAAAGTTCTTTTGCAAATAAATTTGCCTTATTATGGGGAAGAAGTATTAAAATCAGAATTTTAAATTGGGGAAGAATTTTAAATATGGGGAAAAAGAATTTTAAATATGGGGAATTTTAAATATGGGGAAGAAGTATTAAAATCAGAATTGCTAGACTTGCTATAGTTAATGACAATGTAAAAGATTTTCTAAAAGCCTCTAGGTCATAACATCTGCAATAAAATACGAGATTTAATAAAAGAATAACGTAACTTTGCATCAGACCTTTTTAACCGAACTTACTATCAGACCTTTTTGCATTAACTTTATTTATTTTTTGCATTAATTAAATTAGATTAGATAAGAGGCATTTTTATGTATACATAGTATATATATATATATATATATATATATATATATATATATATATATATATATATATATATATATATATATATATATATATATATATATATATATTATATATATATATATATATATATATATATATATATATATATCCATTAGATATCAGATCATCATCTGATGATGATCTGATATCTAATGGATATCAGATCATCATCATCTTATACCTTCTCCCTCTTAATTAGAGTGAGAAGGTATAACAAGAGATGTAAAAATTTATATTTGTCTGGTAGAGCAGGTCTAACTATGTTTACAATGTATTTTTGCACAATATATAAAAATGAAAGAACATGAACAGAAAACCCAATCTATATATGATACCTGTATCTCATACATGAAAGAACAATAGGTTTATAGTGGTTAGTCGTTTTATAAGAAATGAGCCAAACTTTCACAATTTCAACTTTTAAAAAAATATAAGTTTGTTTTTAAAAATTCTAAGTTTGACCATATTGAAATTTTATCTATTTTACAAATAGTATAAATGAAAATCACTTAAAAGTTAAAAATTTTATATTAATAAAGGTAATACTGGAGGAAATAAAAATAATTTTATTTTATAAAAAGAAAGGCATCATTTCAGTTCAATTTTGTAACATTTTGTTCAAAATTATTCAAAAAAATATAAAAAATTATCTGGCCTCAAAAAGTTAATATAATATAAGATTTAGTAGTAGACAAGTAGTAAAACACTTAACTCATAATTTACATCTCTGTAAGTGTTGCTTCTTGTTTCTGAGTTTATGGTTGTGAGAAAGTTGCAAATAAAAAGTTGAAAGTTGCAAATAAAATTTAAGTTTCTTGACTGCAGTAAAAAAAAAAATTAGAAAAAATAGAACAAAATTAGTTTTTTAATGTGTTATAGATATGAGATATTAGATATTACTGATATTTCCTATTTAGACAAGATTTTGGATTGCCAAAAATGAAGCTAAAAATTAGTTATTTTTAAGTGTAGCTAAATGCAGTGGTATCATTTTATTTCAAGTATCATTTTATTTTATAATAATGCAATTTTATTTTTAACTGTTGAATACATAGGGTATCATTTAATTTCAATAGTTCTGATAAATATAATAATAAACATTTTTATGTTTAGTTGAAGTAGTGACAAATGTTCTGAAGTGGCAAATGACTGTCCCATCATTCTTCATTAATTTTGAACTTTTCTCCCACTAACCAGACCTTTTTGTTAGTTAAAGTTACTTTGTCTTTTTTTTGTTATTTTTTTGTGTCGATTTGTTTAAGTAGTAATGTCCATGGTTTTCATGTTTCTTTTCATGCTTCTATTCAATTTATTTTTACATTTCTGATAATAAATTGTATAATTCACTTTTTTTTTTTTTTTTGAATCTTATCAATTAATCAATGGTGAAACTGTTTTATAATTAAAGTTATACTAAAAACCCTGCTAAAAACTTGCTAAAAACTCTGTAGAGTATGAAACTACTGGAAACAAGTAGTAACTATACATGTATAGTATAATGACTCTATCAATGATTGTTAGTATACTGTGCGTTCTAATTGGTTCTAAAATTGAAAATAAAGCATTCAGAATGTTGAGTTGTTTTCTATTAAAATTAGTATCTAATCTAGATAGCCCAGCTATGGCAAACAAAAGTTAAATGATGTTTCAAATTTTGCAAAGTGCTAATTTGTAAATTAGCACTTTATTTAATTAATTTAATGTAAATTAAAATAAAATAATTTAATAAATATAATAAAATATAATAAAATAAAAATTTAATAAAAATAAAATAATTTAATGTAAATTAGCAAAATTTCAATTAGTTGCTTTTCTGCATTAAAATCATTATTTAAAATCAATCAATTTTCTTATTTCAAAAGGAAAAAGATATCACAAATGCTTAAGTGAAAAATGATGAAAAATGTTCTTGGGTAATTTCTTTCAAGAAAAAAGTTGATTTCTAAAACAATTTGCAAAGAAATTATTACTTGTAAATTTAAAAGAGCTACAGCTAATTTAAAAGAGCTGCATTGAAGTTACTAAAAACAAGAAGAATATAAAGTTTCAAAGGTGCAGTTCAATCATTCATAATCTGAGAGTAAGTCTTCAACAAAATCAAGTTTTTATTTTGTTAGATTTTTCAGAGAATTATTTTTATAGCGCTGGGTGCAGTACAAGGACTTTATTGGAATAATATCCAGATAACGTTTTTTCTGACTGAGTACAGCATGATACAAATGCTGTTCATGCATTTCAACGCAGATATAATAACTTTCTTGCCAAACCTAACTTATGTTATTACTTTATTGACGGAGTTAGCCTATATAAAAACTATATAACTTTTAACAATGGTTGTCATCATTTTCATGACAAAACTAATGGAAAAGGTCCTTGTGATGACAATAGTGGTACAGTTAAATGGCTTGTAGCAAGAGTCAGCTTGCAAAACAAGAAAATATTGTCTGTTGATAAAATGTTTTAATAGTGTAATGAAAATATAACAGGTATTAAATTGCTTAAATTTTTTTGAAACTAATAAGACTGGACCATATAAAAATGCTCAGTTTGATAATCTATACTTTAATTCTTAAAAATTTACTGAAATGGGGTTGCATCACTGTTTTATATTGTGTAGTGATGGGAAGCTAGAGATGAAATGTATATTATATTTATATGTGTGTGTGTGTGTGTATAATTTTCAAAGTAAAAAAAAAATAAATTTTTTTATTTCGTATGTGCTTTGATTCGTAATAGTTGTGTAATTTAATAAATTAAAAATTTTTTCATGAAGTTATTTTAAGATTTTCAATAATTAATATTATTTTTAAATAGTTTTAATATTTGAACAAACTTCGTTTTCACATTAATTTAAAATGTATTAAGAAAAATTTGTTGAAATATGATTCAAAATTTCAGTTTTAAATAAAAAGTTAAAATAAATAAAGAAGGCGTTTTCAGATAAAGCTACAGATGGTGTCTTTTATTATACTAAATACTTGTATACTATATATTACTACATGCTTATAATGTAACATAATATAAAATAATTTATTTTTTTTTATTAAGAAAAAAAAAATTATTTTCATGATTTTTTGTTTCCTTTTTATTTGTTTTTATTTTTAATTCTTGTTTGATTAGTTTTTTTTTTCTGTTTTATTGATTTGATTTATTGTACTTTTAATTTATAAAGCTCTTCAACAAAACTCTTGTGTTTTTATCTTTTAGTAATATTTATTTAAGATGATACAGCAATGGCAAAATCTGTTTGTTCATCATTACTTCAATGTAAAGAGTTTGATGCAGTTGATATGGCAAAGAGATTCACAGAAGAATATTTTAAAGAACCTGACAGAGGATATGGATCCAATATTGTTTTTATTTTTGAACAATGGAAAAACGCAATGAAAACTGAATTAAATTTAAAAAATGTGTTGTATCCTTCAACTTCACAATTCGATGGGAAAGGTTCCTATGGCAATGGTGCAGCCATGAGAGTTTCATGTATAGCTTTATTTACACTATCTTTGGAAGATTGTATTGAGGTATAGTTATATTCAATCATATATTGTTATATAATTTTTTTATTGTTTTTATATTTTTTTTAAGATTATGTTTAAAATACTTATGTTTGAAACTTTTAGCTGGCGAAGAAAGCCTCCATTTTAACTCATAGTAACAAGAATGGGTATAATGGAGCTATTTTACAAGCTCTTTCAGTTAGAAAAGCTATTAGAGCTTCATGTGATATCGATCCAATTGTATTTGTTGATGAGTTAATTGATGAAATGAAACATGTAGAATCTTTTTCTGGTGAAGTTAAGAGGTATTTATTACATTTATTTTGTTACGTATGTCATAGTAAAAAGTATTTTAACTTTTGGACATAAAATTAATATGATTTTAACTTAATAGTTAGGTGAAATAAAACTCAGAAATTCAAAATGGTTCATAAAAAATCTTAAAAATCTAATTAAAAGCTACAATATTATTTAAATACAATTTTTATTAAACTTTTTTTTTACCATTTTAAAATTTTTAATATTTTTCTTCCCAAGACACTAGAGGAGGCCGCTACAGCTGAGGGGGCTTTAATTGAGTCGAGGAATATATATATATATAAATATATATATATATATATATATATATATATATATATACATATATATATATATATATATATATATATATATATATACATATATGCATATATATATAAAATAGATAATACCACACATATATTTATATATATATATATATATACAAAAAAATAATATCATACATATATATATATATATATAGTTTTTCTCATGAAAGTATGAGTATCGTTGTAACTAAAATAAAAAACAATGTCATTTAAAAAAAATATTAATAGCATAATATACTACAATGCTTTTTAAAAAGCACGGTATATATATATATATATATATATATATATATATATATATATATATATATATATATATATATATATATATATATATATATATATATATATATATATATATATATATATAGGCCTCAGCAGGATGCGAGTGCTTTAGTTCTCACTCTTGCTCACACTCCCCTAAATCGGTTTACAGGAGCACTTTACGGCTCTTGCAAAAGTAGAATTTTTTTCTCTTAAAAGTTTAACTATCATTGTAGCTAGAAAAATTGCTGTCATTTTAAAATTATTTTTTAATAATTCTTAAAATGCCTGCATTCTATTACAATCAGTAAATATTAAACTTTTTATTAGCAGTAAAAACAACGCTTATTCAAAGAGTTTAGAGGAGCAGCTCACATAGCTCGCCATGTTCATTTTATGAGAGCTTTTCGCCGCTCCTGCACATATTTCTTCATGCCAAGGCCTTTATATATATATATATATATATATATATATATATATATATATATATATATATATATATATATATATATATATATATATATATATATATATATATATATATATATATATATATATATATACACACACACATATGTATATACGAAAGATAATACCATACATAAAAAAAAAAGTCAAAAATCAAATTAAAAGCTACAATATTATTTGAATACAATTTTTGTTTAACTTTTTTTTTACCGTCATTTTAAAATTATTAAAATTTTTCTTTTCAAGATTCTAGAGTAGGCCTCTACAGTTGAGGCCTACTCTAGAATCCAGAGTAGTAATATCATACATACATATATAAATATATATATATTTATATATGCATGTGAAGCGAATTCCAAAGAACTGATGTTCGAGGAAAAAAACTAGACAAATAGGAGTTTTTGGAGCACTTAGGAACAGTAACAGAAAAAGGATGAGACTTAATTGAATGACAAGTAACACGAGAATGAATTTTAGTAGATGGCACAAGAGACGCTAGCTCTTTCGAGCAGTGCCCATTATAGTATTTGTAGAAAAGAGAAAGAGAAGCAACATTACGACGATGTGACAGAGGTTGAAGGTTGGCTGCAAGAGTAGGTCCAACTATGTTTACAATGCGTTTTTGCACCTTGTCTAAAAGAGAAAGAGCATCATTAGAAGATCCGCCCTAGATATGGCAACAGTATTCCATACAAGGCCGGATTTGAGATTTATAGAGATAGAGAATAGAATCCAGAGTAAGAAAGTGACAAGCTCGATAAAGAGAAGCAACTTTAGCAGATGCTAATTTTGCAACGGATTTGATATAAGGTTTCCAAAAAAGATCAGAAGTAAGAGTTAATCCTAGAAGATGAAGGGTAGGAGACTCATCGAGTACATTACCGTTCATAAATATAGGAAGGTCTAAATTATTGCGATAACAATTGTCTGAAAAAAATTGAGTTTTATCTGAATTAAAGTTCACCAGCTACTGTGAGCCCCATGCTGTAGCAGAGGTGAGATCTTTTTCAAGCTCAGATGCCCCCTGCAAGCAATCATAAGGAGTTGGCTTCTTATCGTGACAAGAATAAATGGTAGTATCATCAGCGAACAATGCCACCTTATATTTGAGATTATCTGGAAGATCGTTAATGTAATCTAAAAAGAGTATAGGGCCAAGGATTGAACCTTGAAGAACCCCTGAGGTTACAGAATAAGAAGAAGAGTGCTGTCCATCAAGGACAACTTTTATACTGCAATTGGAAAGGAAGGATTCAATAATCTTAAAGATGTTTCCAGATACACCGTAAGAAGAAAGCTTATGGAGAAGACCAGCATGCCAAACTTTATCAAACGCTTTAGAAATGTCAAGAGCAATGGCCTTAACCTCTCCACCTTTATCTAATGCGCCATAAACTTTTTGGTTATTACTGTCAGCAAATCAGCCGTAGAACGAGAAGATTGAAATCCATATAGATGATCAAAAAGTAGGTTATGAGATTCGAGATGAGAGATTAGGTGTTTGTTAATTAAAGATTCAAAAACCTTGCTTATGATAGGAAGAAGACTAATGGGACATTAGTTAGACGAATCGGATCGCTCTCCAGAATTTTTAAAAATAGGGATAACAGATGCTGCTTTCCAGCTGGCTGGAAAACAAGACTCTGATAAGCACTTGTTAAATAGTTTTGAAAGTATAGATGAGAGCTCCGGAAAACACTTTTGCAAGACTATAACAACTATGTTATCCAGACCACAAGCTGTAGAAGAGTCTAAGCAGGAAATCACTTTAGATACAGAAGCTGGAGTGATACAAATGTCAAGTAATGGATCAACCTGTTTGGCGGCTATATCAGTTAGAACTAGTGGCATCAAGAGATGATATTGATAAAAAGTTCTTGGCAAACAATTCAGCTTTGTCTTTAGGTGAGGTGACAAAGTCTGAACCATACAAAAGAGGTGGAATTACAGACTTGCCCTTATTATTGATACTTTTGGTTTTGGAGTTAGACAAAACATTTTTACAATGGTTCCTAGCAGTAATAAATAGACTTCTGTTTTCTGGAGAATTGTTTTGCTGATAGATATGGAAGTAATGCAGCACAATGCGAGGAAAACCATGGAAAAGAGCAAGGATTGACCTGGAATCGTCAAGAGGGAATAAAGGATTCTATGCCAGCCTGAATCCACGAAATTATGAAGAAGCACATTTGTCAATAGGAAGACGAAAGATTTCTACCCAGGGGCCATCTTGAAGAAAATCACGGAAAGAGTCCCAGTCAGCTTTGAGGTACTTATAAGATGTACAATGATAAGGGGATTCTGATAGTAAAGAAGAATGAGATAACAGTTTTAGAGAGACCAAACCATGATCACAAGCACCTAAGGGTAAGAGTGAAGAAACTGAGCATTGACTAGGATCAGAAACAAGACATAAGTCGAGTAGAGAAGGTTAATGATTTGGGTTGTCTGGAAAGCGAGTTAGAAAGTTGACTATTTGAGTTAGGGATTGAGAAAGACAAAAGTTGTGGGCCTTAATGCCTGCAGAGTCACTGACACTAGAGCCAAGCCATTCAGTGTGATGAACATTAAAGTCACCAACAACAACAATATTGGCTGATGGATAAAGAATGAGGGCTTGGCCAATATAATCAGAAATAACATCAAGAAGAGTGCAGTCTTGAGATGAGGGAGAGCGATATAGAACAAAAAGAAAGGTGATAGAGTGAAGTGGTGCAAAACGAAAGCACATAAAAGAGTAGTCTGTGGATTCAAACCTAGTTTCCCGACAAATGGGTGAATTCTTACGAATGTAAATGCCTAGGCCAAGCATGTGACTATTGGAATCTTTACGAATTAAAGGAAGATAACCATCAACACTAAGATCACAAGATGAGACAGCTGAACTCAAATTAGTCTCACAAAGAGCAAGTAGGTCTGGTGAACTTTGCAAGACTCAACAGAAGAATAGTTACTTCGAAGACCACGAATATTGGTGAATGATAGGTTTAGCGAACTTGGTGATGACTGTGGTTTTTTGTGTTTTATAGTTTTTGTTACTTTATTCATTTTTAAATTTGTTAAAGAACTTGACTCGAAACATAGATAGTACTCAGTACACTGTCTTATAGCCCAAGCAATTGCCTCATTTCCACTAATAAACCCTAAGCTGTAACAAAGGGCTCCAATGTGGCCTTGGCAATGCACACCAAAAGTGCAAACAGGGACACCATACAAGCACAACATGGCTCTGTTAGTACTCTGATATTTTTCAGCTGTTGATGGAATCAGCCTCTCTGAGAGCTACCACAGTTCGAGAAACCTGACTACCAGCTGGCCTCAGAACCATAAATTGAGTTTTAGAGCAGTACCATTATTTGGATATAATAGAATGAGTTGCCTAGTCATAAAAACAGAGACAAAAGCAAAACCTATGAATTGAGTAAAGAAGATCCAGCGTTCAACATCCTAAACTGGAAACAATGTATTAAAAATACATCTGCGCCAGCCTAATAGATGAAGAAGGGGTGCGAGGCTGGTCAACAGATAGAATCTGTTTACCCCTTAATATATATATATATATATATATATATATATATATATATATATATATATATATATATATATATATATATATATATATATATATATAAATATATATATATATATATATATATATATATATATATACATATATATATATATATATATATATATATATATATATATATATATATATATATATGTATATATATTTATATATGTAATTGTATACATATATATTTATATATGTATATATATATATATTTTTGTGCTTCCGAAAGTTATGGGTTTTCTCATTGTCGCATAATAAAAAAGGTATCATTGTAAAATGTTATTATAACCATAAATTTATTTATGGTTATAATAAATTTATTTATGGTTATAATAACAATGGAGCTAACATGTTCAAATTGTTGTTGGTCAGA